TGGCCTTGTACAGAAATTATTAGAAATTATCTTCATCACGGACTGTAGATGATCATCCCTCAATCGGATTATTTTCTTACTAATTTTCGACTGTGAAAAAGAGCTTTTCCATAGCATCTTGTCATTTACATCTTCACAATCTACTTACTGAAGAATGCAGTCTACCTTTTAATATTTTGAGCAGTGTTCGTGAAATTCTTGGCTTTTTTATCTTCCTTTATTTTTTTCATATCAACTTTTTATCGCATTAACTTAAAACTCTAAGTATTTTTTTAACACTTAAATTAATTTTCCATAAAGTATCTTGGATTAAACTTTCTAAAATATGTCAAACTTGTCTGTCCTCTTTTCTGCCTTGTGGAATGTCGGTCACCTTTGTGGTGGATTTTGAACAAAATTAAGAGACGGCTAAAGAACTGAAGGTTTTGTCCATTTCCGATGAATGGCTAGCGAGTTGGTGTCCGGTAAATAGATTACATAAATAATATCTTTAAGATGTATAAAACAAACAACTTTCGCAAAAACTGAGTTGAAAACAGTTACACTATTTTTAGACATACATCTTCGTATTTTGCCAATTAATGTAACTATAAAATATTGAAATGCGACTTAGAAAGAGTATATATTTGAAAGCAAAAAATGTAGGTTTCGCATGTAAATGACGATATAGTATTTTCCTTTCAGTTATCTGACGGAATGATAAATGTATTGTTTTCAAGAATCCCATTTCCTCATTTTAAATGCTAATCAGCAGCCAAATGAACACATTTATCTCTTATGTTTTCTTTTCATCAGTTAACGCCACAATTTTTTCAGAATATTTTCTACAACTTCCTTTCTAATTTTTTTAGTAATTTTCCGTTAGACAAGATGAAATTAAGACCTTTATTGGAACCATCAATTTAAAGCTTTTATTTTAAATCGTATATTTTTAATCTTATAATAAATATCAAAATACGCATTTCCCAGGCACGTGCGGTGAACATTTTTCGAGGTGAGCAGAATTAGATGAGGTAATCGCTATTAATCTTATTGGCTTCCTAATATCCTGTACAATGGTGTGGTGTGGTGTATTTAATTATGGCAAAGCACACTAGGGCTATCTGCCTAAGGGGAGGGATGCCTTTTGTGGAGGACTTTTTAAGGGAAACTGGCTCGTATACACGTTACACATGGGAAAACCACGAAAACACCTATGCAGCCAGCCCGTTTGCGGGGTTCGAACCTCGGACCGAACTACCAGTGTTCAGCGACTTTACCGCTCGGCCGCTGGTGGGCCTATCCTGTATAATGAATTTTTATTTAAAATTTCCTTGTGAAAAAGTAAACTTGTCTTATATAAACAATTTAACATTAAAATAATGTTGAAAAGTTTAGTTACCTCTATGCGCTCGACAAGTTAACATCGATATTAACATTAAGTTAGCATCAAAAAAGTAATTCGGGACATCATCAGGGATTGAAAACAGGGTTGAACGTTGGACAGGACACAGGTGTTGGTTTGGTTTATTGAATTATGGCAAAGCACTCAAGGGCTATCTGCTTAAGAGGAGGGATGCCTTCGTGGAGGACTTCCTAAGAATCGGGACCTTACTAGTTTTCTTATAATGCTAATATAATTAAGATCCTAATTTCTGAGCTATAACGAGAGAGCACTAGATTTATAATCTTTTTATCATATTTTTAAATTTCCATGAAAAATTTCCTGTTGATTTGATCACAAGCTGATTTCCAGATACGCAGATCCCGTCACGCTTGACGAATACCACATATCCTGTACACTCATCTTGTTTTCGGCTAGTATCCCCAAATCCACCGTAAGCGTTTTAGCGGCTACCTTCTTCAAATACAGCTGTCCGCAAAGACATAATTATGCCCTCACGTCCATTATACATTTGCCATGACAGTTCTTTTAAAGCGCGCACAGTTTGGAATAAGTGCAAAAAAGTGCGAGCAAATTGATCTCATTGTGAGCTTAACAAAAGTCTGAGCAAACAAGTCGGCCTGGACTCAAAATTTTGTTTCCCTTCCAAAGGCTGATGCAGGAGGTGATTCAGACTGATTTCTCTCAACATGTCAAGACCTTGACGATGGGGGTCCGAATGTGTGGTGAAAAGAACGGTAGGAGGAGGTCATGCCCTCCCAATTTTCGCGCCTCCACTTGAAGCGACGTGCGTGTTTTCTTTCAGTTCGGTGGGAAAAGCACTTTTATTTGCTTAACTGGAATATAATGCCTTTACGGCATATGGTTTCGCCCCACTTCCCCTAGATAAGGGGCCGGAAAAAGGTTGGTGTTGAAGCTTTTAAGAAATTCGTAATAATTCACGATGATTTACCCACATTTCCTCGCGTCAGAGAAAGAATGTTTTCATCTCGAGTACTATGATATGATCTATAATAGGATCTGCTATTATGATCACGTTTGTCAACGTCTATTTTCATAATATTTATCGAAGGATAACAATAAACGATAAAAAAATCCTTTAAAATAGCAGAGGAATGTAAACTAATTTAATATAAAAATATCAAGGGGAAAAATATGATTAAAAATGTTAAGAAAATCTGAAAGGTTTCAGATTTTAACTGTCGCCCAAAAGGTTTGTTACGATATTTTACGCTCTTGCTGAGCTCGCAGTCTATCAGTCTTCTCTTACACTCACTCTTACTAACCCCCCCTTTTTTTTTTTTTTTGGTCTTTTTAGCTTTATTATTAAGCATCGTTTTCTTCGCACTTACGCCATATACAATTCAACAGCAAAGTTACAAAATTTTTAAAAGCAGCGTAGAGATATACGTTTAGAATTCCCGATGCAGCGTTAAGTGTTGGCATACATTTTTCTGTTTTTGCCAGTCTTTTCGAAGTTCAGTGTTCTCATATCAATGTTCAGTTTTCTTACTAAAATGGTTTTACAAAACATTTTTTTATCTTTTTATTATTAACGTTTTTTGTGTTAACTTTATTAAATAACACGTTTTTGCTCTTAATGTCACATAAAATTCAATACGACAACAAATTCGTAAAATATGTAAAGTGAGCATATCTTTTTCTGAGACAGTCTCGCTCACTGTAGACAAAACTGTTTTATTCCGTACATTGTTGCCACTGCTCGCTCGTTGAGTTTATTAATAAAAAATCTTACACTTACTTAGTACTACAAATAAATTATAAAAACTGTATAACGTCATACTATGAAAATATTGAATTATGAATTAAATGCATTTTTATTATTTAAATGAATCCGATTCAAGTAGAAACGAGCATTCTTAAGAATCTATTGCTCTCAAATAGCTTAGTTTGATAAAATCCGACAGATAAGATTCAGTTTGAAAGATGAATATCTTACATTTTGGCGAATTGCATTAGACTCGAATGAAAGGTGAAACAACGCATTTTTAGTGATTTCATGGGAAATCCCATTTCAAGACTAATAGCCCCTGTTGGGCTAGAGGGGGGCATATGAGAAAAGACAATTGCATTTCCTCCACAGTTCCTTTCCATAATCCTAATTCATTATTCATAATTGTCCAATTAACTGAGGAAAATCAGAATCTTGACTATCGTAGCGAACATTTTTGATAAATGTGCTGAACGGAATTTTCCTCTTTTCCAACACAATTACTTTGGTCGCTTGCTCATGTGGAAATACTCACATTCTTTTGAAAGAAATATATGCGAACATTTAAAAATAGATCCAAATAATACAGAGTTTAGAAATAACTAGTGGAAAGATATGCGACGGTACAAAAGAAATGTTCGACAGATAACATTTGATTTGCAAGAATAATTTATTACATTGTTCAATCTTTTTTATTGCTATCTGAATAGATCATATCCTTGAAGACAATAAACAAATGACAATGCACCAAACTCCAAAATCCTGTACTTGGTATCTTGAATTCCCAAGTTTAAGGAAATAACTGCAGAGAAATGTTTTCGCCGAGCTGGCTCGGAACGAGTTTTTCATATCAAAATATCACATGGGAATGCTAAGATGCATAACATTTAAAATTCAATTCAAATGATTAAATTTTTTTAAAAACAAACGGACTTGTATGTTGCGATTATAAAAGGCTTGAGGATAATTTCGAATGAACTAATTTCCATTTTATGCAAAATAAAGCAAAGACTAAAGAGACATGAAGCAGAATTTCAGTGAAGCATGAGAAATACCAAAACATATCGAATGCGCTTTATGCACAAAAATTCTTACTCGACCTTTATTTTCCCAATCGTTGGTAGTAGACATATACAGTTGCAAAAGTGTTTTAAATGCAGTAAATTTTTATGTTTTGGCATTTTTAAATTTAAGGAAATCCTTTTTGTAAAAATTAAGAACTCTAACGTTTTATTCACTCCCCTGGTTCTTATACTTATATTTAGGGAAATATTATACTCATTATATATAAAAAAATTAAACACAAAATTTTTGACTTTCGTAAGACAAAATTTGACCAAGAGATTTCATTTCGAAACTTGCGCTTTTCGACGTCATATTCGATATAATGGATTGTAAAATGGATGAAATATAAAATTCGGAATTCAAAATTCCAGCATCCAGGTGCACATGTTCGGGTGGAGGACGACGTTATTCAGAACTTGATGGTCATAGATACCGTCGTTTTTTCACAGTGCAAGAAACATTATTCATTTTTATGTTCCTTAAAAGTAACACGTGAAGATAATATTTAGTGGCACCAATTTGAAAAGTGATTCAAACATTTAAAGTGAGACTCCGCCAAAGCCAGACTCGTCTTTTTGGGCTAACCACACAGCCATACTTTATGTAAATGCCTAGTGATTAGTGCAACATTAACCAATTTTTGTCTGTAATATTTGTATAAAAATAACTACAAAGCTGTTTTTACAGTAAATTGTCCTTTCGTGCAGTTCACAGTTTTGGCATGTAACTCAGCTATCGTAACTTGAACAGCTAAGTGATACGTTTATTGTGAGTTTTACTTAACTAAAACAATTGCATACTGTATTTCGAAATATTTACTTTTTTTCTGCTTGCCTGTGACAGGTACGTAGCTGTCAGCTTCATTGTCTACGAGAAGTTCATCAATTTCTTTACCTAGAAAGGAGAAATAAATTTAAGTTTCCATGTGCATTAACTTTTTTCTGTATGTGTTTATTAATTGATTTAATTATTGATACTTACGATGAATGCGTACAGAATAAAATTATGCGTAAAAAATAAATGTGTAAAATACACGTAATTTTCATAATACATACGTAATAATGTATTCAAAGCATACGTAATTAAGAATACGTACCATAATGAAGAAGACATATATAAATTTATAAGATTAAGCTAAATTAGCTGAATTAGCTTTATAAGGTTGAGCCTAATTGTACCTAGTTAACTCTTTTATTTTCTGAATCATTTTACCTCCTTGTACGAAGTCAAGGAAGTACTGTAATGACGAAAAATTTCGGGTATCATATTTTAACGAAAAGATCCATTTCGATCGCTCACGAAACCATTTGAAAGATGTTTTTGCTTGGCATCTGTACATACGGACGGAATAAAGGACTGATTATGCCAAAAATGATTGTAAAAGGGATTTAAAATGGATTCAGAGGTGGTTTTTTTTTTTTCTTTACGTCTTCTTGAGTAGCCGCAGAGCGTTGAAATTTTCTGTATGGGACTATTATAACTTGTAGTTGTGCACCTCCCTTTTTCGTTGTAATTGTGTGCACCAATCGTATATATATATATTTTCACTTTGTTACCCGGCTCGGTGAGCTTAGTCCTTTTATTTTTATATGTTGGTAAATAGTCCATTTTTTGCTTTAAAAGTGATAGAATTGTGTAGTTTTTATGCTCCAGTTAAGGTTAATCTGTATGCAATAGATATAGAATTATCAACAGTTTAAAGCTTTTAGTGGCGAGTTTAATCTTAACGAGCTGCCATTTGTTTACATTTGAAACTTAGGAGAATAGTGGATTAAGTCAGTGTCTGCACCTTCAGTGTCTTTTTCCCGAGTGGGAACCAAAGTAAACTTTCCGTTTTGTACACCATAAAATCTACCTTCTTGCCCGCTGGCCGAATTGCTTGCTTTTGCGTAGAAACTCTAATTTTAATTGTAAAAATTATTTTTTTAACTGTATTTGGTGTTTTATGTTTTTCTGTATTTTACAATTTTTAATGAAGATGTTTTGAGTTTTTATGTATTTTTGCTTTGCCGTGAAGTGAGAACTGAATTAATCGAATGAGGAATATATCTCTAATGAAATTCGAGGAAATAAGTTTAAATAAAATGCAGTAAAAATGTATATAATTTAGGTCATACAAGGCCGTCATGTGGAGCCCACATCAATTTTTTTTCTTCACAAACAAAATATAAATGTAATTAAACTGTAATTGACACAGGCAATGATTTCGTCAACACTTGTACACTAATGGGCCATAAATATATTTACAGCTTTTCAGATGAAATGTTAGATAAAGTGTCATGAAATAATGGAAAGTGTTTAGAATCTCCTGATATAAAATACACATATATTAGATCGCAAGTTAACTAAAAGGTAATTTACAGAAGTAAAACGTTAAAAAAATTCTTACCTTTTAACCTAAAAATAAAACTTACTAAAAGGCATCGCAATTCTTGGCTCGAGCAAAGAGAATTTAAATCCCGCAAACGCGTACAAAATTTACTCGTCAATACGCAAATCGGACAGATGCCAGCCGGGAGAGTGGTTACTAAATCTAACTGCCGTACGGAAGAGCCCAGGTTAGAATCCCGGAGAAGGCAGTGATGTTTGTAAATGTATAGTCTCTAAATCTTTCCACTATTTCATGTGCTTGTATCGAGCATTTTATCTGAAAGACTATGAGCTTATGCGACTATGAGTCTGAGCAAAACCAACAGACTGGTAGCTAAATGTTCAGTCAGCATTATTGATTTGACCCCAAAATGTAGAAAACAACATACATGATTATTGCAATCATATTGCCTTTAATTCTAAACAGAAATGAAAAGAAAATCGGAAAGGTTTTAGATTTCAACGCTCGCCCCAAAAGGTTTGTTAAGGTTTTCTATGCTTTCGCTGAGCTCGCAGTCTACCAAACTGCTATTACACTGACAATTACTAATCCATTTTTTGTCTTTTTAATAGCATTATTAAGCATAATTTTCTTCTCTCTTACACCATATACAATTTAACAGTAAAATTACGAAAATTTTTAAACTAGCTTGGCAGTGTAAGTTGAGAATTTCCGATGCACCGTCAAGTGTTAGTACGCACTTTTTTCCCAGTCTTTTCTTAGTTCATCATATCAATATTTAGTTTTCTTACTAAGATGGGTTTAGTTGTTTTTTTAATTCGGGAGGGGGCTTTTTATAATCAACGTTCGGTGCGTTTTTTTTATTAAATATCACTTTCTTGGCGCTTACGCTACATAAAATTAGATTCAACAGCAAAATCCAAAAATGTTTAAAAAGAACATGTCTTTAAAATTTCCGACAGAAATTGTCGCGCGCTGGAGATAAAAATTCTTTTTTTTTATCCCTAGCCGTACAGTGTTGCCATTGCTCGCTTTGAAATCACTGAGTTGGTTAATCAAAAATTTGTTAAAGTCTTAAAAATATGAAACAGAGTTATTAGTCGAGTGGAGTTATTCAAAATTTGATGACTCTAGATCCTTTTTTTTTTCATAATGCGACAAATATGCATATATTCATGCAGATGCTTCATTATTTAATTTCTTTAAATATAATACAGGGCGATAATATTTGGTGGCAACAATTTGAAAAGTGATACGCCGTTTATAGTGATTCAACGTAATATGCTGTTTCGAGTCTAATCTGTCATCTGGGACTAACGTCTTTTTTGAGCTAACAAAAAATGCAAGCCTTTTTCAGGAGTGGTCGCCTACGAGAGACAATGCAATCCAAATGCAACTAATGTTCGAAAATATCAATGCATAATTTAGTTAGCGCCTACAAATGGAATTCAGAATGCGTGTAATATATAAAGTTGCAAGCATTGTCTTTGAACAAACTCGAAGGAGCGCAGAGAAAGAAAAATATCGATCATAATGAATCAAAATCATTTGAGAAACTATTGAGTATATCATGAACCCTATTCAAACTGCATAACTATATTTTTTCTTAATCTCTACTATTAAATAATGAATCTATTTGCATATATGTTTGTATGTTCCTTGGATTGTTGAAAAACGACGGCCAAACCTAGAGTCACCAGATTTTTAATACACGTAGTCCTCCATCCTAAAACGGGCAACTCAAAGCCTAAATCCTGAACCTTGTAGTAGTTGCTTTTGATTTTTTTTTTTTTTTTACATTTTGTATGAATTTAATGAATTTTTGATTAACAAACTGAGCGACTGAAAACCGAGCCGTGGTTACACTGTTCGAAATAAAACATTTTTATTTCCGCCTTACCAGACTCATTGATTAACAAACCAAACGATCTAAAAGTAATAAACGCAGTTCTTAAGAATATGTTTTCTATTTTTTAGTCTAACTGATTTAAACAAAATTGCATTTAAATCACGAGATGACTAATTAGAAATATTAAATGCTTTTATGAAATCATACTAGCTGGACTCATTAAAATCATTACACACTTTTTCTCCATTTTATAAGTATGCTAAGCGGCTGGCCGCCCAAGTGGCAAGGGGTTTAAAAACTGGAAAATATTGTCTTAGGACCAGTCTTGTCGACTCATACGACTGGACTGAGCCAAAGATTAATGTGATGTTTATGAAATTTCTTCAAAGGAATAAATTCAAAGTAATAATAGTTTTTTTTCTGCTGTCAGGTTATTGTTTTCTACACTATTTTATCAAAGAAATAGTTTCGATAACACCATTTCGCATACATATGTCTATATATATAGTGTACTTTTTTTTTTTACCCTTTTTTATCGTCGTTGCGCTTGACGTCCTTTTTACGTTTCACAACTTAAGATAGGTATCGAGAAATTTTAAAAGGGTAATACTGCATAATATTTACCATACAGAGCTACGCTGGTAATATTTTCATAGAGCGAATTTTAAGTAAGATGATTACGCACATTTCTAGACAATTTAAGTTTAAGAATGCGATCATGTTGTAGGGTTTATATTTAATTTAACTAACATTTATTTTAAGTTTAAGCTATCTTTCCTGTCAAGCCTTTACTTTCCCCTAGAATTGCCAATGCCAGAGTATGTAAATCGTAGTAGAACGCGCAGAGTATTCAAATTTTTAGCAGAAGTAATTGAGTTTAAAAAGAAGGGAAGCGAGATTGTAAGTGTGCTTCTTGAATCACGAGCGTGAAGGTTGCTTGGTAGAAAGTTTAAGAACCGCGCGTTTCGGCCTGTGTGCCTATTTCGACAGTTCGTTGAATCTTTCAAATTCTTAATCAGAAAGTTTGCTGAATCTCAGCTGTATCTCAGAACGCGGTTAAGTTATTTACGATTATAGAGCCTCGTAGGTAGTGACTTCGTTATTTATTCATCCTGTCATTTATTTTTTAGTTGCATTTTTGTCTGTTTTGTTCAACCGCTGGGTCGGCGTAGTTTGTGAGCGTCAAGTGAACGCAACTGTGATTTCTAAAGTGAAGTAAAAAGGGTTAAACCCTTCTTAAGAGTTTGTGTAATTTCCAGTTCATAGCAGTCACTACTACTATTGCTGACAAGTTGGGGCCTCCCAACATCATAATGTGACCAAAATAACCACTTTTGATAATGATTATAGATTTCTATAACAGCTTTATCTTATGTAAGGCTTCTGATCAGTGGTGTAGCTAGAAGTCAAAGAGGCGGCGGTCCACCCCGGGTGGCAGATTTTCGGGGAGAGGGCGCAAAACGTTTTTTGTGAAATTATTTTACAGTGGTTAAACATATGGATCGTCGAGGCGGTAGAAGAATAATGAGATTCTGAATAGCGTGCGGAATTAAATAGGGAAGAGAAATAGTTTTTACTCTAGGTAATGTATTCAAAGAAATCACCGCGATAATTCAACTACGTACTCTTGTTGTAACCTTTTATTCCGTTCAAACTTTCGAAAGAAAATTGCGAATATCAGTTAAATTATAATGACACTAATTTTAGTAAATT